TATTAAATATTATGCTATTAAATATATAGCTTTTGCGGTCCGATTTGGGAATTTCTCATGAATGTACACGTAGAAAATTCTCTCTGCTGAATGAAACCTCATTTGTTTTGGACAAGAATGTAAATATAGTTGATCTTTTTAAAAACAAACATAAATACATTAATTGTATTCATAGTTTTTGTAGCTGTATTGGTCCCAGGATATTATAGATAAAATGGATGAGGTAATATCTTTTACTGAACTAACATCTATCATTCAGATCCAAGCTTTAGAGCTTACGCCAGAGGTGGGCAATAATTTTTAATGTCGGGGGGGGCATACCATGAATTTGGTAAGTGATCAAGGGCTGTATTCTTCCATGATATTAATGGAAGAGGTATGAGTCTGGGATGGAGGTTTGGTGCAGAAGGGAGCTCGGGGTGCAGGAGGAGGTGTAAGATCTGGGAGGGGATTGTGACCTAGAGCGGAGGACCAGGAGTTGGATTATGACCTAGAGAAGGGGATTGATGCAGAGTCTAGGAGGGGGTATGGGTGCAGGAGGGGGGGGTGAAAAGGGTTTGGGTTGTGACCTGGGGCACGGGTTCCTGAGGGTGGGGCAGAGGGTTGGAGGGCTGGAGGGAGTGGGCTGGGATTCCAGATATATGTTCTGGCTGGGAGGTGCTTACTTAGGTGGCTCCTAGCTTGCAGCCCAGTGGCACCCTCAAGTAGATGCCCTACCTTCCAGGCCCCCGCATGCCGCTCAGAGCGACCTTCTGTGGAAGCCAGGTGCTCTGCATGACACAAGGGCCAGGGGGGAGGCCATCAAGTGCTGGCTGCGCTTCAAGAATGGCTTAAGCAGTTCCCATTGGCCAGTTTTCAGCCAATGGGAGCTGCGAGTTTGTGCTGGGAGTACAAGCAGCATGCAAAGCTCATCTCTCCTCTGCCCAGCATATGGTGTGAAGAGAACCAATGGGCCTTGTAGCCGACCACTTTGAGCAGCATGTGAGAGCACAGAATCCAGGGACCCTGCTTGAGGCTCCCACTGCAGACTGTGGAATAGTGAGAGTGGGCTGGATTCAGCCCACGGCCCACATTTTGTTCACACCTGGTTTATACGGAGCTCTTCTTCAGATCAATATAAAATATTGTCCTTGCTCACCTTGTTTTCAAACAAACATTAAAACCTGGTAGATTTTTGTATTTCTGTTTTAATGCTGTACCAAAACAATGCAAAATAATTAAATATGTCCTTTCTTTCTTTGTTTCCAGTACTGCATAATACTGACTGTGTCTAACTTGGGTAGATAAATAGTTCCATTGACTTCAGTAGAACTGCATATATTTGCAGGTTCAGGGCTTCTTTATATAAAGGGAACAAAATCAAACCAAAGTCAATGAAGGTCTCTCAGGGTATGTCTACACTAGCCCCCTAGTTTGATCTAGGGAGGCTAATGAGGGTGACCGAAATTGAAAATGAAGTGCGGGATTTAAATATCCCGCGCTTCATTAGCATGTTCCTGGGCGGTCGCCATTTTAGAAATTGACTAGCCCGAAGTAACTGCTGCGTCTACACGCGGCAGTGAAACGGGATTCGGAATTAAAGCCCTAAATCGAATTAGCTGTTAAACCTCATTCCAGGATGTTCACTGTTAAGTTTGAATCAGTTTCCGTTTGCTTCCCGCCTTGCGTCTTCTCTCATCCCTAGCGATTTTGTTGCATTGTTTCGTTTAATTCTGTAAAAGCACTAACCTTTAAAAGAGGGAAGCCATAGTGTTTAATGGCATTGTTGCATTAACCATATGTATGTGTGTTTTATCTCTCTTTCTGGGGAACAGACAATGAAAGGAGAGCAATGAAAAGGAGAACAGGGAAATCTGGCCTCTGTTTATCTCTCTCTGCCCCACCCCCAATCCTTTTCTCGTTTACTGATTTTTTCTTAGTTCAGTGCTTTTGGCCTCTACTGATTCATTACCTTGTTCCCATAAGCTTTGCCAAAGCCCTGAAGCAAAAACTGGTAGTCATCAAATACAGTAAATGTGGAATCACATGGTCTGTAGGTAGACTAAGAATACAATCATAGCTGAGACGACACATCTTTTTTACGCCAGAATTCCACTACCCTGCCTGTCTGCACCAAAGTACATTGTTGCCGCAGTGCAAGATGCCTTAATCCTGCTGTGTTCTTTCAGTCCATAAGTGCAATGCTTGCACTTACAATTGATCCTCGTGGCTGTAGAAAAATTACCTCCAGACCTGCAACAAGTCACAAAATGCAACGTGGCAAGCAGCTAGTGCACTTGTATGTGTTTTCTTGGACTTTGTCTTCTTCCCCCACAGGCTTTTATTCATGTTTTATTCCACCCATCCCCAGCCAACTATGTCTGCTTGTATTATTGTTGAAGCAGTATTTTTTTCCTTCAGCTCTTCTTCTGCATTCCTGGTTGCTGATTATACTTCCAGTTTCGTTATGTTGGCGACTTGTGAATAATTGTAGCAATACAAATACAGTCAGCAGCCCTTAAATAGAACAATGCACCATTAGGTCAACAAAATATAAATAATGATCCACACAGTGAAAGTATTCTGTAATAAATAACTTCATGTAGCCTTTAAAGTGTTACTTTATATACCAGCAGTTCTCAAACTTCAATGCACCGTGACCCCCTTCTGACAACAAAAATGACTACATGACCCCGGGAGGGGGGACCGAAGCACAAGCCCACCCAAGCCCTGCTGTCCCGAGGAGGGGGCCAAAAGCTGCCCAACGACTTCTGCACCGGGACAGAAGGCATGTAACCGTAGTGCCCCCACTCCAGGACTGAAGCTCTTGGGTTTTGGCCCTGGGTAGCAGAGCTCAGGCTTCAGCCCTGGGTCCCAGCATGCGGAACCCCAGTCTTGGAGACCCCATTAAAATGAGTTTGCAACCCACTTTGGGATCCCACTTCCGACCCACAGTTTGAGAACCCCTGTTTCATGCTGTTTAGTTTGAGAGATTTCACTAGATGTGATGAGTGAGTGATGTGAATTGATTTACATCAGATTTGATATAAAGTCATTATTTTTCATAAATAGTATATATCAACTCTTGTACAGTGTTTCTCACCTGTACTGTTGTAAAAATTGTTACACATTTTTTAAAAGTCTAAAGATTGATAGTAAATTTACTGCATTAAGATTCATGGTTATATCAAGTATTTAATATATTGATTATACATGTTACTTGATGTAATATGAAAATAATGTTTGTGGTCTTATTTGCATATGATATACATTACATGACACGCCTAATGGATTTACCTTGAGAGTAGTTTTGCTAGAGATAATGGCTCCATATTGGACATAATATAACTAGTTGCAAGCCCGTCTAATTCAATGAAGTTGCACTGTGGACACTGTAGTTTTATTTGGTCTAGGGACATGTCCTTTGATCTTCAGTGCAGCTAATTCCAAATATAAGTATTGGCTGATAGAATATTCCAAGTATTGCATCATTTTGTATCCTAATCTGTTGTCTTGCTGTTTGCAGTGTTGTGGTAGCCATGTTGATCTGAGTTTGAGGGATTCAAGGTGGATGAAGTGGTATCTTTTATTGGGCCAACTTATGTTGGTGGAAGGGACAAGCATGTGAGCTTCAGGGGAAGCTTGTCTCTTCCATCAACAGAAGCTGTCCAAATAAAATAATTAACTCACCCATCTTGTCCCCTGTTATATTGGTAATTCCTAGTAGTGCGTTATCCCTCCTATCCCCACTATACTTTGCATAGTCATGTGGTTAAATTGTATATCTCCTGAGCTCTCTGTTCCAGATTTTTTTTTCCCCTTCTCATTTTATTTTCACCCTTAAATCTTTGTGTTTACTAGGTCTCCTTTGTTTTTTCTTGGTTGTCTCTACTTTTGGAGTCCTGTTACTTTATCTCCTCATTTCCGCTGGTCTGTAAATAGCCTCCAGGTTTTTCAGTTCTTTTCACTCAAACGAATCCAAACCTGCTTGATCTAGAATGTCTGCTGTAGCACTCAGATGAATTTCTCTCCATCTAAGTCTACATTTAAAACTGCAGCACTTTAAAGTGAAAGTGTGGCCAGGGCACCAGCCAGCCGTGACGTGGAGGGGGAAATGAGCCCCCCCAATGACACAGGCAGGAACGACGAGGGGCCAACCAGCAGCCAGTGAGTGGGCTAGTGGGGAGGCCTGTCACCTACAGCTGTGGCCTGCTTCTCCCTCTTCTCCCCACTCCAGTATTCACTGGCAGTGACGGAGAAAGTGGGGCAATGTGGCCCCAGCTCCCTCTGCTCCACTGGCTGTGTCCCCCTGTGGAGGGGGTGGGAGAGCTTCTGCACTCACCAGTGGAGCAGAGTGAGCTGGGGCTGCGTTGCTCCACTTCCACTGCTGGTGAGTGCAGGGATCAGGGGGGTGACCTCTGCTACCAGTGCCAGTTCCTCGACCCACTAGTGCTCTGGCCTGCATCAGTTGGGGGCAAAAGCGGAGCAAGGGCTGGGAAGAGGCAGGGACTGCAGTGGAGTGGAATTGGCGCATCCTTTCCTCAGGCTGCAGGGGGGAGGCACCAGCTTTGGACAAGAGATCTCCTAGTGCTCTATGTAAATCATCTAAACAAGAAGCGTTAGCTCCCAGCACTGGGAGCCTATTTACAATGGCACTTCACAGTGCTGTGATTTGCTGCGCTCAGGATGTGGTTTGTTTGTTTTTCCACAACCCTGAGTCAGAAAGTTGCAGCACAGTAAAGAAAGGGGCAGTGTAGACATGGCCTAAAACTAAAATGTTAATAAGTTCATATGGATTCATTATTATTAAACACATGTATTAAATAAAAATGTGTTTTCCTGAACAGGTAAGATAGTTTGTGATCTAACTACAGATGTATTCAGTGACTGAATGGGAGTAAGCAGGCATCTTACTCATTATAGGTTTTGTTTTAATGAAGTACTTTTTCATTTGCATTCCACTTTAGAAACCTCTGTTTTTATGATGCATATGTTTAATTACTATGTTTTCTTGGTTGCAGGGAGAAAAAAATGAAAATTCAGGATATTAAAAACAATATTAAAGAAGCTATAGAGGTAAGTCTGCAAACGATTGTTTCTAGCTGCTAAAAGCTGTTTTTTAATCACTATTTCATAACAAATGTGGGATTTTTTTCCTCCCTTTCTTTGCAGACAATAGTGACAGCAATGGGCAACTTGGCACCTCCAGTCGAGCTAGCCAATCCAGAGAACCAGTTTCGAATCGAATACATCTTAAACTTAGCTAACCAGATAGACTTTGATTTCCCACCAGTAAGTAAAGTTTCTCTTCAGTTGTTATAATCATTTTTTTTGAGTAGATGATTATTTTCACCTTATTCATAGTAGATGTTGACAAGAATATAATGCAATTTAATTACATTTCTTTACTGGGTAACTAGGAACTGCCATATTGGGTGAGACCAAGGGTCTGTGAAGATCAGTAAATTTTGTCTAACAAAAGCCAGTATCTGATGCTGAGGGAAAGGTGCAAGAATACCCCCTTCCTTGCAGCAGACAAATAAGTAAAGTATAATTTTGTCCACTATGAAGATCTTCTATCTAATCTCTGATAGTTTAAGCACTGAAACATGAGGTCTTATACCCCCTTCTACAATTTTTAGATAGCATTAGCTATTCCTGTTATCCTTATAAATGACATGTCGCTGTTGGTTTCTTTTGTGTTGCTTGTCTCAAGTAAATATATACAGTGTAGCAGCGTTTCCCAAACTATGGGGGAAAAAATACTGGGCCTCAGCGTGACTGTTGGGAGGGGAGCAGGGTGGGCCAGGCTGGGAGGAGGTGTGGGTGTGTGGGGGGGAACAGGCGGGGGTGCGGGCGCAGGCAAATCAGCTGGCAGGAAGCAGGACTGACCTGGGTACATGCAGACCCAGGCAGAGTGAGTCCAGCCCCGGGGATTTCATTTGCCCTCCCCTACCCCCCCGCCCCCCTCATGCAACATGAGTACATCTACCAGCCAGGCAGTTCACAGCTACGGACTGATACACCTAATAATAATAAAACTTACCTAATTAGAAAATACCGGACACTTCATGTGTCCAGTATTTTCTCAATTTGTTTCCCAGACAGAACCCTCAAATACTGGACTGTCCGGTACAAAACTGGACACCTGGCAACCCTACCCCTTCTTGCACCCTCCCTCCTAGCCAGATACCCTACCCCCAATCTGCTCCTGCCTCCTGGAGTGCCCATGTGGCGCCGGGTCCCGCAAGCACTAGCCCAGCCTGGGCGGAGGATGCAGCCGGGTGAAACACTGAAAATTTATTTATTTTGAATTCTTTTTTATATGCATTTATATGCGTTTTATATATTTTTGGGCTGCAAAAAACAGTACTGAAAAAAACGGGTTCCAACTAAAGTAAAAAGTTTGGGAAACACTGGTTAGCCAGCTTTCTATCCATCTTACAGTTCATTTATCCAATCCATATTCCCTTAACTTGCTGGCAAGAATATTGTGGGTGACGGTATTAAAAGCTTTGCTAAAGCTGGCACTGGGGGCTTTGGGAGGACCAGAAACAACTTATTTGAATATTCATCATTTGCTTAGTGAATATGCAAATGAATGTTACCGGTCCTCCAAAAGCTCCTGAATGGATTTACTTGTCCCCCGTCAAAAAGTTGAGAACCTCTGCAGTACAGTAACATGAGTAAAATATGCAGGACCAGATTGTGGGTTGTCCTGCCTGGGATTCTAGGAGCCCTCTCCTCTTCCTTCTGTTCCTCTTATATAGCCAGCCACAATCTAAGGCCATTGTTCTTAACTAGGGGTACACATACATGCGGGGGGGATTACTCAGATTACTTCCAGGGATACATCAGCTCATTTAGAGCAAATGACAAAAGGTATAATTAGTTAATTAGTTTTTGATGCTATATCTGCTGCTTCTGACTTGCTAATGCTGTCACTTGATCTTGGACACATTCAAAAGCACCATAAAAATGCAAGGTGCTACTTCTAGTTGCTTGGAAAACCACTGAAAAGGCAGTTTTGTTGATTATTGCATAGCATGTGATACTTAGCAGTAGTGTTGTGCCAGCAACTCCAATGGCAAGATTCAAAAGACTTCATGGGTGCCAAAGGACTGAAGTATGTATTATTATACTGTAGCAAAGCCCTATATTTTGCTTCCAGTAGTGCCCAGCACCAAATACTTGATTAGAAAGGTGCAAGAATCACTGAAGATAGTTTGGCAAGATTTTGACCAGTGTTCCCTCTGAACTGCGCGTGGCAGCACAGCTTCATAGGTGATTAATCAGCCCCACCCAGTCCTGAGCCTCTGACTGTGCAGGGCAGCTTAGAGGGAACACTGATTTTGACCCATCTATGATTTAAAAAATTACTTAAACCAGCTAGCCTACAAATCCAGTGATGGAGACATTTTATAGCTACTATTGTTGCCAATAACTGTCCTGCATTATCAGCCTATACAAGGAATGTCCTCATATAACTTGTCTAACAAACATCTCACAAATGACCAGTGCTCCAAGAGTGAGATTGGTACTGTGATCTCACAGTTCAGAGACCCTGCAGAGGTCAACAAAATTAAAAAGATGAGAGAAAGTCTTGTTTGCCCCAAAATCAATATAGTAAGAATAGTACAGATTGGACCTTCCTGGTCTGGCATCATTGGGACCTGAACAGCCCTGAAGGAGGGAGTTTGCCAGACCAGAGGAGGTCAGGGCTCAGGCTGTGCCGGGGCTCCCCATCTGGTTGCTGAACTGGCCATGGCCCCGCGCCACTGGCGGAGCTCCACCCAGGGCTGCAGTTTCAGATTGGTGGGGTTCCCTGCTCATGACTGCCAGGGCTCTGTGCCCATGGCTGAAAGCAGCTCTGCACCACCAGCCACAGGGCTCCTGACCCCTGGATGGCAGAGCTCCACTCCCGGCCATAGTGGCCCTCTGCTTTTGTACGGTGGTGTCTCCATACCCCCAGCAGCCGGTGTCCCCTATCTCCGGCTAGGAAGGTTCCATCCCGGCTGCCGGGGCTCCACGGCTCCAAACAGCAGCAGCTTCAGGACTGGTCCGGCTCACCTCCAGGCTGGCTTTCTGCCCCCAAACCACTGCCTCTGCTGTCTGCCTGCTTGCAGACCGTCTGAGTTCTCAGCCACTGCAACCTCTGTGAACGTAAGAACTGGGTCAAACCAAAGGGCAGTCTAGCTCAGTATCCTGTCTTCTGACAGTGGCCAGTGCCAGATGCCCCAGAGGGAGTGAACAGAACAGGGAATCATCATGTGATCCCTCTCCTGTCATTCATTTCCAGCCTGTGAAAAACAAAGGCTTGGGACACCATTCCTACCCATCCTGGCTTAATAGCTATTGATGGATCTAACCTCCATGAATTTATCTAATTCTTTCTTGATCCCTAAGTCCTGATCTTTACAGCCTCCTCTGGCAAGGAGTTCCACAGGTTGACTCTGCGCTGTGTGAAGAAAAACTTCCTTTTGTTTGTTTTAAACCTCCTACCTATTAATTTCATTTGGTGCACCCCAGTTCTAATATTATGGCAAGGGTGGGGAACCTCAGGCCCATGGCCTGGATATAGCCTGTGGCTTGCCTAGATCCAGGCCCCTGTGAGGCTCAGAGCCCCCTTGTATTTGGGAGCCTGTGCTGGCACACCTTCCCTCCCCTGCTGCTCCATCACGGTGCTGGAGCACACAATCTACTAGTTTCTCTCTCTCACTCACACTCACACTCAGGTGTGAGAGAAAAATATGGGGTGTGTCTTTCTCCTTTTTAGTTGGGCACCACATCAGTGAGGGGTTTTTGTATGTGGCACCTGACTGATTTTTCTGTAGGTTGGTGACCCCTGAAGAAAGGTTCCCCACCCCTGTGTTATGGGAACAAGTAAATAACTTCCTTATTCACTTTTTACACTAGTCATGATTTTATAGACCTCTAACATATCCCGCCTTAGTCTCCTCTTTTCTAAGCTGAAAAGTCCCATTTTTTTTAAATCTTTCTTCGTATGGGACCCGTTCCAAACCCTTAATCATTTTTATTGCCCTTTTCTGAACCTTTTCCAATGCCAATATATCTTTTTTGAGATGTGGTGACCACATCTATATGCAGTATTCAAGATGTGAGCGTACCATGGTTTTGTATAGCGGCTTGAATAGTTTAGTATCATCTGCAGGTTTTGCCACTTCACTGTTTACCCCTTTCTCCAGATCATTTATAAATAGGTTGAATAGGATTGGCCCTAGTACAGACCCTTGTGGGACACCACTAGTTACCTCTCTCCATTCTGAAAACTAATTTGTTTATTCCTACCCTTTGTTCTTGTCTTTTAACCAGTTATCAGTCCATCAGGGAACCTTCCCTCTTATCCCATGACAACTTACTTTACTTAAGAGCCTTTGGTGAGGGACCTTGTCAAAGGCTTTCTGGAAATCTAAGTACATTATATCCACTGGACGCTTCCCGCCCTCCCCCCCGTTTGCATGTTTGTTGACCCACTCAAAGAACTCCGGTAGATTAATGAGGCATGATTTCCTTTTACAAAAACCATGTTGACTTTTCCCTAACAATAGTTTTCCCAAACTATAGTTTCAACTAATTTGGCCAGTACTGACATTAGACTTATCTGTCTGTAATTGCCAGGATCACCTCTAGAGCCCTTTTTAAATATTGGTGTTACATTAGCTATCTTCAAGTCATTAGGTACAGAAGATGATTTAAAGAATAAATTACAATCCACAGTTAATAGTTGCACAATTTCACATTTGAGTTCTGTCAGAACTCTAGGATGACTGCCATCTGGTCCCAGTGACTTGTTACTGTTAAGTTTATCAATTTGTTTTAAAACAACCTCTAATGACATCTCAAACTGGGCCAATTCCTCACATTTGTCACCTAAAAAGAATGGTTCATGTTTGGGAAACTCCCTAGCATCCTCAGCTGTGAAGATTGAAACAAAGAATTCATTTAGTTTCTACACAATGACCTTATGGTCGTTGAGTGCTCCTTTAGCATCTTGGTTGTCCAGTGGCTCCACTAGTCGTTTAGCAGGCTTCCTGCTTCTGATGCACTTAAAACATTTTGCTATTACTTTTTTAGTTTTTTGCTAGCTGTTCTTCAAACAATTTTTTGGCGTATCTTATATTTTTACACTTAATTTGACCGAGTTTATGCATCTTTCTATTTTCCTCACTAGGATTTAACTTCCACTTGATAAATAATGCCTTTTTATCTCTCACTGCTTCTATAACTTGGTTGTTAAGCCACAGTGGCACTTATTTGGTTCTCTTACTGTG